GTTCCAAAAGTGGAAGGTAGCGGTCAAGCGTGAGGGGGTCGAGCCACCTTAAGGCGATTTAAGGCGACTTAATGACCCGGGGTAGGCCTGATCATCGTGACCATACGCCTTCTCTTGGATAGCCAATGCTCTCTCGAAACACTTCATGGCTTCTTGATGCTGATTTTGAAGACGGTGACAGAATCCCATTTCATTCAGCGTAGTAGCTAAACGTGGATCATCGTGACCATACGCCTTCTTTTGGATAGCCAATGTTCTCTCGAAACACTTCATGGCTTCTTGATGCTGATTTTGATCACGGTGACAGAATCCCAGTCCATTTATTATCGTAGTAGCTAAAAGTGGATCATCGTGACCATACGTCCTCTCTTGGATAGCCAATGCTCTCTCGAAACACTTCATGGTTTCTTGATGCTGATTTTGATCACGGTGACAGAATCCCATTTCATTCAGCGTAGTAGCTAAACTTGGATCATCGTGACCATACGCCTTCTCTTGTATAGCCAATGCTCTTTCAAAACACTTCATGGCTTCTTTATGCTGATTTTGAACAAGGTGACAGACTCCCAGTCCATTTAGCGTAGTAGCCAAACATGGATCATCGTGAACATACGCCTTCTCTTGTATAGCCAATGCTCTCTCGAAACACTTCGTGGCTTCTTGATGCTGTCCTAGGCCAAGGTGACAGAATCCCATTTCATTCAGCGTAGTAGCTAAACGTGGATCATCGTGAACATACGCCTTCTCTTGTATAGCCAATGCTCTCTCGAAACACTTCATGGCTTCTTGATGCCGATTTTGATCACGGTGACAGAATCCCAGTCCATTCAGCGTAGTAAATAAACATGGATCATCGTGAACATACGCCTTCTCTTGGATAGCCAATGCTCTCTCGAAACATTTCATAGCTTCTTGATGCTGTCCTAGATCACGGTGACAGAATCCCATTTCATTCAGCGTAGTAGCTAAACGTGGATCATCGTGACCATACGCCTTCTCTTGGATAGCCAATGCTCTCTCGAAACACTTCATGGCTTCTTGATGCTGATTTTGATCACGGTGACAGAATCCCATTTCATTCAGCGTAGTAGCTAAACGTGGATCATCGTGAACATACGCCTTCTCTTGGATAGCCAATGCTCTCTCGAAACACTTCATAGCTTCTTGATGCTGATTTTGAACACGGTGACTGACTCCCAGTCCATTTAGCGTAGTAGCTAAACGTGGATCATCGTGACCATACGCCTTCTCTTGTATAGCCAATGCTCTTTCAAAACACTTCATGGCTTCTTGATGCTGATTTTGAACAAGGTGACAGAATCCCAGTCCATTTAGCGTAGTAGCTAAACGTGGATCATCGTGACCACACGCCTTCTCTTGGATAGCCAATGCTCTCTCGAAACACTTCATGGCTTCTTGATGCTGTCCTAGGCCAAGGTGACAAAATCCCATTTCATTCAGTGTAGTAGCTAAACGTGGATCATCGTGACCATACGCCTTCTCTTGGATAGCCAATGCTCTCTCAAAACACTTCATGGCTTCTTCATGCCGATTTTGATCACGGTGACAGAATCCCAGTCCATTCAGCGTAGTAGCTAAACGTGGATCAT